GATGGGTGGACATTGAGTTGGTGACAGATGAAGTTTGGATCAATGCCTGGCATGTCGTAGGGTGTCCAGGCGAACACTTCGATGTTAGAGGTCAAGAATTCCAAGACCTCTAATCTCTCAGTGCTGGACAACAACGAACCGAGCAAAAAGAACTTATCCGGGTTCTTTTCATCTATTCTTACCTCTACCAAGTCTTCCACCACTTTTTGATCAGCTGCTTACCGACATCTGCGAACAGTTCATTGCTCTCAGGTTCTTCCCCCGAATGTACATATCCCTTGGCAGCGCCGCTGCCATTAACCGTGACAAAGCATTGCTTGGACATAATCTGGTCTCCAAAGATCTCTTCAATTACTCCGACTCCGTTGGGGAACCACATTACTTGATGGTAGGATGATGCTACTAATTTCACGGCATAGAGCCATGTTCTTCCCAAGATTATGTTGTGAGTGGAAGGGACCTTCAAAACCAAAAATTCCACTTGTTTTGTCACGCTTCCTGCCCTAACTAGCAGGATAATTTTGCCGACTGGCCATTCTGGCATTGAGTTGAATCCGATTAGGGGGGATACAGCCGGTGCCAGGTCTTTGTCCTCAAATTTCAGTTGTTTGAAGGTGTTGTAGTACATTATCTCACACGAGCTACCTTGGTCTATCAAAATTCGCTTGACATCGTAATCCTTGACGTGAAGGGTGACGACCAGTGCATCGTTGTGAGGGCAATATATTCTTTCCAAGTCCTTGTCTGAAAAGGACATGACGTTCGTAGGGTCTGTTCTCCCCCTTTTTGATGGTAGGTTGAGCGCTTAGTACTTCTCTTAAGTGCTCAGCCTTTTTGATCGATCCTCTGAGCTCGCATACATGCTCAGGCTCGAATACTCCATGTATCACATTGATCACACCTTAAGGTGGGGCGTCAGTTGGCATTCCATTGGGGTTATTGTGGTCCTGGGGGGCTGGTTGCGTCCTTCCTTCAATGTATTTATCCAGGTGACCGGCTGCCACCAACTCCTCCAGATGCTGTCTTAATGGCATACAATTTTCAGTGCGGTGCCCCTTTTCTTTGTGGAAGGTGCATCGTGATCTTTCATCGTAGTCT